TTAAACCCTGCGGCTCGTGACGATACATTGATGTGTAAAGACACGAAACGATCGGTCTGTGCAAGAAACTGAACAGTATTTATATCGTTTTTTACCTCTGATTCACCGCAATGTCTGAACAGAAGAAGAAGAAGACGCGTCACGCGCCAGCTGTTAAGAACGCGCTCAGGATTGCGCCTGACATTGCGGTGAATCAGAGGTAAAAAACGATATAAATACTGTTCAGTTTCTTGCACATTTGGGTGAACTATCCCTTTAATCAGTGCATGATTAAAATAATCATAATGAATATATGTATTTTTTTATAATATATAATCATATATTATTAGAATAATATAATGTTAATACTACTACTACTTAATTAATAATAATAATAATAATAATAATCAGTTCTGTAATCAATTGGTGGCGCTAATAAACAAACATAAAGAACTAGGTTAAATTTTAGATATAACATTATTTATTATTACAAATTATTATAAATTATTATTATTATTTCTTTCAATCAGTTGACAGCCGTAATAAACATACATAAATGACCCTAGGTTAAACTGTATAAACAATAATATATTTTGTATAACAATTATATATTCATATATTATTTTATATCATTATTTATTTTAATCAATTGACAGCCCTAATAAACATACCCTAATAACATAGCTCTAATTTTATATCTAATATTACATATTAATATAATAAGAAAATAAATATAAAACTAAATAATTATAATAATATTTTTTGTATTTTTTTTTATTAATTGACAGGCCTAATAAACATACATAAATGAGCCTAGGTAAAATTTTAGATATAATAATAATAATACAAATATCTATTTCTTTTTAATGAGTTGACAGCCCTAATAAACATACATAAATGACTATACATTAAATTTTAGATATAATATTATATATTATTACAAATTATTATACATTATTATTATTATTTCTTTTAATCAGTTGACAGCTGTAATAAACATACATAATGACTATAGATAACATTTTATATATAATATTATATATTAATATAATAATAATCATTTCTTCAATCGACAGCCCTAATTAACATACACAATCGACTCCATGTTACATCAAGCATCAAGTCACTTACCGCCCATGCAGGCCTCATGCAGGGGTGAGAAGGTGAAGAGCGGAGGATTCACCATGGCTCCATGTTCTAACAGCAACTTCACACACTCCAGACTACCAGCAGCACAGGCGTCACACAACAGAGTGCTGCCATCAATGTTATGAGCATCAACCTGTTAAATCGACTCCATGTTACATCAAGCATCAAGTCACTTACCGCCCATGCAGGCCTCATGCAGGGGTGAGAAGGTGAAGAGCGGAGGATTCACCATGGCTCCATGTTCTAACAGCAACTTCACACACTCCAGACTACCAGCAGCACAGGCGTCACACAACAGAGTGCTGCCATCAATGTTACGAGCATCAACCTGTTAACAATGACAGCAGTATTAACAACCGATGCGCTGACAGATT